AGTTGGATTAGACGTAAATACAGGTATAATATGATAGTTCAGGTGTCGTTCAATTTAATTCTGGGCAAAATCAATGAGAAGAACGACTACTTCTGTAACTCAACCGCACATAAAGAGGATTACATCAAGAATATGAAGAAAGTGAAGGAGAATTCGGCAAAACTGGCGCCACTTAAAGAGAAACTTCTGGACACAACTGTCTTCATACAGAACTCGACCTATCAATTGCCTAAAATTGGAAGACTTTGTTGGTATGAATTTAATTGACATTTTTATTAATTAATTGTTTACAAAGAAGTGGCGATTAATTAATAAACACAATCTTGCAGTTCGTTTTGGGAGTTCTATAGAGGTCTGAAGAATGAGGTGAAGAGCGGTCAAGGGGTAGACTTTGTAGTGGACATAACGTTTGACTACTTCGCGGGCGCATCCAAATACATCTGTTTCCTCTATCCGTACGGTTCAGAGCTCTGTAAGGACGAGGAAAAGGCACCGAAAATGGTTCACAAACACCAATCCATTGTATTGGAGACCTTATTAACGTTGGGAGAGATCGCCACTCCATAGGCCATTAGAACAAACTATTGTCAATAATACTATTTGTTAAACTATTTATTTCATTTATTAAGTTAAGCGTTGAAATAAAATACAATTTAATTGTGTGTAAAATACGATAAGTGCTGAAATAATTACTATTAGTTCACTACAAATAAGTTATTTAGTTATTGTCTAAGAGTTAACAAAAAATAAGAAAGGTTTAAATACAACACAAATCCAAGTGAGAAATATTTCAAAAATAATAAGAATTAAATTGTGTGTAAAATACAAATTCACAACTTTAGTGAACAAGACACAACGCAACACAAACCGCGCAGAGTACGGAAGAGATTACTATTCGTTTATCACCTATTATTACTGCTGGTCTTACCGACGCTAGTGGTTGTCTTGACAGTGAAGAGTGAACTCTTGTTTGTATTGTTCAACGAAGAGATGGCCGTAATGTTGGATCCAATCCTTCCAAGTGTTTTCTGGCGGCACTGAAGCCGATCGCCTCCTTCTACTTCCTATTCGCTTCTCCTGTCTTAGCCTCTGAGCATTTGTTGCATCATTCACTTCAGCATCAGTCAGATCGCAGCCGAAGTACGCCCTCAAGTGTGTCGGCTTATCAGTCCTCTTGTCGTTATTCTGATGGTAGGATACGAGCGGATGATTAGACAAAAAGCGTTAGACTACAGACATTGAATACTGGGGCGCGAGTAGCGCTACACTTACGACGACTGATAAGATAATGCTGGTATCACCGCCGGTGATTTCAAACACCTGATCCAAGTAGAGATTGTCTTCAGTTATTCCCTGCCCCACGAGATATGACCTGTTTTTGTTCTCGTCGTAAAACATTCCCGCAAAATTGCCTACAAAACAACGGGCCGTTGACCACGCGGGCTTCACCGCATTAGTAGGTTTGCCCGCAATAGAGGGGCCCGCATTTTCCCACCGGTTTATGTCGTGTAGTGCGTCCTTCAAGTTGGTCACTGTCACACAAAAGTACGTGCCTTTTGTTATTGTTTGATTTTTCACCGTCGTATTGAAACCTACATTTGATTCATTAAACAATCATTTGGGAAACCCTTTGGACAATAAATACCTAAATATAAGAGATTATTCGCGACTACGAATAGAGAGGCGACGATCTCTTTCAATGTGTGAGTGGACCGCATATCGGCGGACAAAACGGCAGTTGTGGGCCAAAATAAATTCCTATTTCCTGTTCCTCCAATCGTCAGATCTTCTCTCCATTGAAAGCCGAAAGGGTTGTCGAAAGTGGTTCCCACGCTCTCGAAGGAAGTCCTATAACGGAAAGTGAGGGCCTTATTGTAGCCCACAATTACTGTCACTCCATTCCACTTGTCGACAGAACGGCCGCAAATCCTGTCCAGCGTTTCGGGCGATTCCAGACAATTCACTTCTTGGAAGGAGAAGGCAGTGAATCGGAACGTGTCTTTGTCAAAACCATTAGGTTTCTGTTCTTTGCCCAGCTCTTTGCGGGCCAACGCGTAGATGGAGTAGTCGCGGAGCAGTCCTCCCTGACCGCCGTCCATACGCGGGTCCCACGTATACACTTCGCCGCATCGGCTCAGGTATATGTATTGCCCGATGTTATACACGTTGTCCAATGTCTTCAGTTGGCAAAAGTCCTTACCATCGGTGGGCGCCGTCAGCGCCGCCAACACCGCAGCCGTCCGTAATAGCCATCCGATTGTCGTCATCGCTGTCGCCGATAATGAGTGATAGGTTTCCACAAAATAGAGACCAAATTAATGCCAAACTCAATGTCTTCTCCACTATTCGACTGAAGGAATAGCGAATTGCTATCAATTTTGTGTTCACTCTTACAGTTAGTATTGGCTTTTTTTTGCGCGCGAAGTAATCCATCCTTTGGGTCATTGGTTTGGTTACAGTATTTTCAATGCAAGCCTTCATTGCATCCCTTTATCTCCTATTCATTATAAGTTTGAGATATGAGTATTTCTTTTTAAATTGTAATTTAAATAATTTATTTTTTACATTAAATGTTGAGAAAACAGATTTTGTAAAGAATTATACTAAAAAATTATAATAAAATTCAAATATAAATAAGAAAACATTTTAAACAAAAAAAAACAAGAATTTCAAAAAATAAAAACTTTTTGATTACTTAAGAGTTATCTATAGATAAGAAATAAAAATAAAATTAAGTCTTTTTGTCGGAAACTTTTGCGGAGTTTAAATAAATGACCCAAACATTGCGGACAATACTGAGGAACAGAAGAAACGAAACGCCAATTAGAAAGTACTGAACAAACTCTTCGCCAAATCGTTTCACACAAACATCGAGATAATAATTGATGCCATTGTGTGTGTCTTCAATGATGGATCTCTTTATTATGTGTTTATCTCTTTGCTCTTTGGCCTCATCGACCGCTTCCTCAGAGATGCCACAACCAAAATACGAGCGCAAAGACTTCGGTACTCCTGGATACTGATTCTCTTCCTGTTTACGCGGGTATACGCTATTCAATTGCCGACTATTTTTGATTAACACAAACACATACCACTTCAGTGATGATAACTTTTTGACCATCGGTGGCCGTCATCTCATAGATCTGATCCTCAAACCAACGCCTTTCATAGAGCACTTGACCGACGATATATGCTTTGTTCATCTTCTCGTCGAAGAACATTCCCACCAAAATGCCTGTAAAACAGTAACCTTCGGCCCAATTGGGGTATTTGGAGAGAATGCCCGACACCGGGAGTTTGGTTACATTATGCAACTCTTTGTCCATATTTAGATGAGTTACGCAATAGTACTTCGTATTCGCTGATAGAAGAGCTAATTTAAAGACAAATCTTGTGTAAAACATACTATGATGTGACTGACAGACAGACAAAACAGATATGTTATACCCATATAAAGACGATTTTCATTCTTGACGAAGAGGGCCGCGTGTATTGTGGACGAGAAATCGAAAGCCAAATCATGGCTGGTCAGCTTATCTATTTTGGGCCACCAATTGGTCCGGACTGTGGTGGCGATTGCCTCCATTCCGATCGTCCATCCGATTCCCATCGGATCCTTGCCGTCCACCCATTTGCCGATGTTCTCAAACTCACCCCTATATCGGAAGAATATGCCCGTATGGTTGTCGACCATTGCTGTGTAGCCATTCCAGGCCTCAACGGCCTGAGCGCACACACTATCGATGGTTTCGATACTATCGGTGCAGTCGAGCTCTTGGAAAGACCAGACGGCGAACCGGAACTCCCTCTTCATCTGTTCGTCCCACTGCCTGCCCGCCCACTCGTGCAGATTAGGGCCGAAATATCTTCGCGCCAAAGTGTAAAACGCGTAATCCTTTGTGAAGCCGGAGAGGCCGTCGTCCATACGCGGGTCGTATGTCCACACTTCGCCGCATCGGGTCATGTATACCAGATGTCCCACACTATACACGTTGTCCATCGATTTGGTGTCACAAAACGGCACTCCTTTCGCCACTCCTGTCAATGATATTACAGTAAACGATACAAACGCTACAAATGACATCATTTTTTCCATTCAATTAGAGTTTAGGTTTTAAATCACTTTCAGATTCAAAGTGAAACAGAAATTTATTAATTCAGAGGTTTTCAAAAGTTTTGTGCATTTTGTTCCGCAAAACACCTTCTCGTGACTTATTATTTAAATTACATTTGCATTCAAACAATACTGTATAATACAATCTGTATTATATACTGCCTAATCTGACAGTACAGTAACAAAAATCATTTATAGTTTTGAAAATCAAATTATTTTAATGTTGATTAGCTTTAAAGTTTTAATTTTTATATATACAGATAGTATATAGATAGTACACTGTATATACATATTATGTAGATTAGATTAGAGGCAATTCATAATTATGAACATGGTTTGGAAAATAAGTTACTATTGCCAATCTATACAACAAAACATAATCACTTTTAAGCATTACTTTCAAACAATACAAATTATTTGCATTATTTAAACATATTTTAAATCTATTTGTGTTTTACTTTAAAAATGCAATTTTTGCAACAATTAAGTAATAAAACACTCAAAAGGTTTCCAAATATCTTACAAATCAATCAAATCTCAAATTATGGCGAATATGACTGCAATTCTTCGATGGCTCGCAATCTTCTCCGTGAAAACGATAGCAATGATAGCATTGCTTACAAAATGGCTTTCAAATCAAATCATTGATACGTTAAGCGGAAGACTATGTCTGCTATCAGTGACAATACGGACACTTCAAGTGGTCTTCAAAGCAATTAAGATCTTAATC